TCCATGTGGGCTTTGTTGCTTCTGAGCTTGATGGCCGCTTGATTACCTTCAAGCCTTTAAGACCCCAGACGCTATACTTTTTGATAGCCGGACACCATCAGCTTTCTTCGCCACATTTGCTTATGCACCCATTTGTCTTCAGTGACATCACTGACTTTTCTATTGACTGTCATTTGCTTCACCCGGGCCACCAGTGCTCCCTATTATCTGTGCATTAAGCAGGTACTATAGTCTTTCTGGAACAAATGCCATGAACAATACATAAGTAACAATATAAGGAACATTCTTTTCCTTACTCGTTTTGAAGGAGTGGCAGATTGATTTACATGTGGGTGGTGAGAATGACACAATCAAAGTAAATTTATATTGGATGACAAAAATGGATACATTTGCTAAATAAGTAGGATAAATAAATAAATAGAATAAGCTATTAAATAAAATTAAACAAACCATCATATTAAGAAAAGAATTACTAATACACACACAAAAAGGAAAGTATTAGAAAATTACATAGAAAAAGTAACTGCCAGAGAGTGAAATGTAAATGTAGAAATTAAGTCATATGAGAACTACATCAAAATTTTTTTGAAAGAAACTAATTTTAAAAATTACTTTGAGAAGATACTTATAAATTCTTCAGCTCAAGTTAGGGTGAAATTATCTAACAACAGAATGTCCTCATTTTCTAATAATTTGCGAATTTAGAGAAATGGGGCTTTTATTCTAGTGGATGATATAAATTGCTATAATTATTCTAGTGGATGATATAAATTGCTATTATTCTAGTGGATGATATAAATTACTATAATGGGGAACAATTCCTATTAAAGTTTTTCTATATGTTTTTAACCTATTGACGCAGTAATTCTGCTGGGAATTTATCCGTAATGTACGTGATGCTCTGAAGTGTTTTGTTATAAAGCGATTCACCGAAGCACTGTTTGCCGTTATAATACTGTATTTTCAGGGTAGCATTATGACTTTACAGTAGGAAGAGCTTGGGAGATGTTTCACAAGCTGACCCTTTATCTGTTTACACAGCTGCATTTCATTTTTTCATGTTACAATTTTATCAGCAATTTAACCTCTGGTTTCTTTGGGTTATTCTCTTTGCTGCAATGTCAAGAGCAGCATTGGTGATCAGGAAAGACATGTATTGGAAACTTTTTTTTATTGCCTTTTAGGTATGACAGCCGTTATCTGTACTTACCCTCTTGACGTGGTTAGAGTGCGCCTAGCATTCCAGGTGAAAGGGGAGCACACGTACACAGGAATTATCCATGCATTTAAGACAATTTATGCAAAGGTATTTCCTCCTCACCTTTCTCTTGTAGCATATCCATTTATATTTATGAGAATATTTGAGCGGTGCTAAATATTTACTCTGTTATGTACAAGCATTGGTCTTAATTGTGAACGCACATCATTGTGTTTGGGGGGTAGATGTCATAATTGTTCTTCCCTTACGTGTGTGCTATTGTTCACTGATGAAGTAATTTCAACCTCTAATTTTCCTTCCTTCAAAAGGAAGGCGGTTTCCTTGGGTTTTACAGAGGCCTGATGCCGACTATATTAGGAATGGCTCCATATGCAGGTATGTTTCCAGTTTGCTAAAATCCTGGCTTATGACTTTAAAATGTGTCAGCAACATTGTTCTGGAATGGTGCCATTAAGATATGTTATTATGCAAAGTACTTTCACTTAAATGACAAGGATAAAATTATGATTCTTATCTGATCATACTTGCATGTCTGTAAAGATAACCGTATTTCTATTTCTATTAGTAGAAATGTACTTTTACATCTTTTTCATAATCTCTGAGTTAGCTGTAGTGTTGTTAACAGTTGTACAATGTTCTACGACTACAGAAAGATGCCATACACTCACTTACAAATCATGTCAAAAAGAATTCATAATTAAAACTTCTATTTTACACACTCTGTAAGTCAGCTTCTGCCAAGAACTCCTGCGGAGTGCTGGGCTCTGCCCAGGAGCTTTGAACCCAGTGGCTCCACCTTCTGGGGCCCAGCAGCAGGATCCTGCTCTCGGCACCTCTGGGTTGAGTCACTCAGCTGCTCTCAGTGCTCCACAAATCCCATTCGGGTTCCACCTCACTTGTTGGGAAGTGGTGGGACTCAGCGATTCTTGCCCACTCTTTTAGTGAAGTTAGTTGCTGTGCAGTAGCAAGGGAACTCAGAATATGCAACTTGCCATTCTACAAGAAGCCTCACGTCATTTTCGCTCTATTCTCCTGTCTTTCAAAAAATGTGTTATTTTCAATCTTATATTTTTACGTAATTGCATTGTACACACAATTTTTCTTTTCCCCATTTTCTCAGGTTCTTTCTTTCTTTTAAACGGTATTGGATGTCCTTCATAAACATTTTAATTAGTTTTATCATAATACCATTCTACTTCTTTGAGTATTTCTGAACATTTTTTTATATTTGCTATAAATATCCTTATCAGAAGCTTTTTCCCACCACCAACTTTTTAAGCCAGTACCAACTGTATATCATCATTAACTTAAATGAATATTTATTAGTTCCATATGTCTTTTTTTTTTTTTTTTTAGTTCCATATGTCTTTTGAAGGTATCTGAACATTGTTCTCATGATCAAAATTCTTCCTTGAAGACAAAATTAGACACTGAGCTAAAATAACATTGCTTTATCATTTAAAATATTGCTTTTTCAATATCTATTATCATGATTGTTCTTATAAATATGTCATGTTTACTTATAATTATTAGTTATGAATTTCAATCCTAAGTCATGTGATAGCTTAGAAAACCATTTACATCTATTTTAAAATCAGGTAGCATTATACTCATTACTGCCTTCATTCAGTGCACTGAACATATCCTCAGCATGTGCAAACCAATACTATAATTTTTTTCAGTGGTAAACTTGCCATTGTCAGGTTATTTATAAATATTAATGAAAACTTTTAATCTTACCTTAAGCCAAACATCAGAAATTAGGAGCAGCATAATTAGTTTCTCAAGTTGATTGGTTACTATCTAAGACATTTTTTTTATACCTCATGTTTTGTTGCATCACAGTGAAATTATGTTTTGTTTTTCAGGTGTTTCATTTTTTACTTTTGGTACCTTAAAGAGCGTCGGGCTTTCCCATGCTCCGACTCTTCTTGGCAGACCTTCATCAGACAATCCTAATGTCTTAGTTCTGAAAACTCACATAAATTTACTTTGTGGTGGTGTTGCTGGAGCAATAGCACAAACGATATCGTAAGTGTCTTTAGCAAATTGATTTACTCAAATTATAGTTACTCAGGATTAATTTCCAGCCTTAGTATCTCTATTTTTTTCCTAGACTGTTCAAAAGCAGGATTAACTTATAAAACATAAGTGTTAATTGAATACATGTTTTCCAAGTGGGTTTGTTCTTTAAGCATGTTTAGGTAATTGTGTGCCAAATTTGTCTGAATCCACCGTGTTCTTATAGATTCATTTTTTTTAAAAGACAGGAAAAAGCACTAATTATTATCCTTATCCATATTTCCTCATAAACTTGTTTATGTGAAGTTTCTGAAGTGTGAAGCCTTTCTAGTGTGTGAAGAGTTACAATCTTTCTTTCCTAATAGTGTTCTTTGCACTATCTATCCATTCATTGTAGCTGAAAGACCTAATCTGTTCTCTACAATGTACTCTGCAATAGGAATGTCACTGAAGATGGAGCTACTGCCCTCAGGAAGCTTACACCCCAATGAGAAAATAACAGTACAGTAAACCAAATGCATCACATGGAGTTGACTCCACTAGCAACCCTGTAGGACTGCATCGTTTTCTCATGTGGGGTGGAGGATGATTACTTGGGGTCCTACTCCTAAAAGAGGTTATTTTTCCATATTTCATTTCAGGTAATAATTTTATATAGAACTTGTTCTGCCCTCTAAGACTTTTTCATTTTAACACTTAAGCAAAAAATGTATTTATTGATGTAATGCATATATGAGACTTGCTGAATACTCTTAGGGCAATGGTTCTCATTTGGAGGCAATTTTATCCCAACTGAATATTCGTCTATGTCTAAAGACATTTTTGGTTGTCACAGTTAGGGGCATCTAATGGCGTGGGGCCAAGGGTACAACTGAATAAAATAAACCTTGTGCCAAGTGCAAGTTTGAGGAACCTTGCCATAGGGTCACAACAATGGAAAATTAAGTTTGTTTCTTCAAGGTCAAAACTCCAAACTCGCTGTCACCCAGTCAGTTCTGGCAGGCCGGGGCATTTAATTAGGTCTTGGAGAAAGAAAAGACTTTGATCTGGTTGAGATATTAGCAAGAATCTAGTACGTAGAGGGAACTATAGAAGCAAAGGCAAGGAGACCCCTGTATTGTTATTTTGTTTTATTCTTGTGTCTATGTTTTGACTCAAAGATGAGATGAAATAAAAAGATAATAGAAATCCATTCTGCCCATTTCCTAGTTTACGTGTATAGCATTGCGTTCAATAAATACGAGAGCAAGCAAACAACTGTTGCTACTAAAAAACTCAAAACAGAACCAAAATATTATTGCCACTAAAGTTTCAGTTAAAAAAATACTTAGATTTATTTCTAGTAAAACATTTTAAAACATGTATTTGCAATTAGTGAATGACTACACCCAAATTTTCTCAGTACTACACCGGTCTTTGTCTAGTTAGGTTGCCTTCAAATTAAAGGGATAATTTTTGTGCCATGGAAAAAACAATTTTGAGGTGATCCTAATACTAAATTTTTAATATAACTCAAGTGGACATCTTCCCAATCATTGATGTTTTATAATAAGCTTACCGGAAGGCTGCCCCTCAGAAAGCATTTGTTTTCATTTGATGAAACATTTTAAGGTTAGATTGGGAAGACCTCACAGATGAGTCAAGAGAGTGAAGACCATTACCCGTTGGCAAATGAAGAAACTGGCTGAAGTTTAGAAATTCATGGAAGAAAACTGTAGAATTGCTATTGATGCTCTGACCACTGAGTTTGGGGTCTCACATTGGACAGCATTTTCAGTTTTAAGCCCTCAGCAAGCTTTCACCCAAAGGGATGCCAGCTTCGTGCGCGAAGATCAGCTAGCTCACAGAGTTGATTTTTCCATCAGTCTTCCCAGTAAGGCAAATTCATGGAACCAGTCATAAGCCAGGTTGAGTCTTGGGTTTATCAATTCCAGCCCGTGGGCCAGGTTCGATCAAATCAATGGCTTCCAAGGGGCTATGTGAGGTCAGTTCAGGTTATGATGACTGCTTTTTGGATTTCAAAGGGGTAATCTTGATAGGTTTTCTTTCTTTTAATCATTTTATTGGGGGCTCTTACAGTTCTTATCACAATCCATACATCCAGCCATTGTGTCAAGCACATTTATACATGTTTCCATCTTTGGTATCAGCTCATTTCCCACCCTCCCTCTCTCATGAACCCTCAATAATTTATCAATTATTACTTTTTTCATGTCTTACACCCACTGCTGTCTCCCTTCACTCACTTTTCTGTTGTCCATCCCCCTGGGAGGGGGTTATATGTAGATCATTGTGCGGTTTCCCCTCTTCTACCCCACCTCCCCCTTCCCTTTCCCCTCCTGGTATTGCTACTCTCATTATTGGTCTTGGGTTAATCTGTCCTGGCTGATAGATTTTCTTGAAGGACAGAGAATAATCATGGTAGCTTATTGTGAAAAAGTTTTCAGCACGTTGACAATACATTGGTGAGAGAGAAAAAAGCCAAGAACAATGTGCCAAGGAGTTCTTTTCCATCACAATAAAGCACCTGCTCTTTCTTTAAGGGTAGCATATGCTGTCCTATAAGAATGTCACTGGGACTCCTTGCCCCATCTACCCTACAATTTTACACCTTTAGGCTTTCTTTTGTTCCCCAAACTAAAAAAAAAACTGAAAAGGGACATGAATTTTGAGTCCCTCAAGTATGCCCAAACTGCTTTTTGGAAGTGTGGCATAAATCAAGCCCTTGGAAAACTTTGAGGAAGACCTAGCCACTGCCATTGAGTTGATTGCCACTCAGAGCAACCTTATGGTTTAGCCATGCAGTGCTTACCTGACAATGCTGCCAGGACTCCTCCTGAGGAACTTTTGAGAGAGGAAACATCCTCTTCAGAATTGTATAGAACTAGATGGAGGATATGTCTAGAAACAATGTTTCCTGTCCTGTTACTTTTGTTAAATAAAGTTTATATGCTATTGTAGGGATACTGTTTGATTTACCCTCAGAGTTGGAGAGTTGAAAGCTATCAATCATTTTGAATTCCTTGTAACATTTTGTTGTTGTTGTTGTTTTCAGTTACCCTTTTGATGTGACTCGTCGAAGAATGCAGTTAGGAACTGTTCTCCCAGAGTTTGAAAAGTGCCTGTAAGTTCTCTGTATGTCATTGTTCCTTTTCTTTAAAGCTGGCGGGGAGGTAGAACTTGTCCTCACCAAAAGTCTAGAACTTCCACTTTTGCTCCATCGTATTCTTTGGAGTTAATACGTTTCTAAGATTTCAATCAAATCTCAATCCTCCTTTAAAAGCTTTACTTTAGAGGACCTATGTCCAATATAAATGCAGTATGAGCCATATACACAATTTAAAAATTTCTAGTAGCCACATTTTAAAATGTATAAAGAGAAAAATTAAAGCTTTAAAATATTTTTATATACAAACATTTTTATGTAACGAATATACCTGAAGTATTATCCCTTTCACATTTGATTACATTGATTTTTGGTACTAGGCATTTGAAATCTGAACGTATTTTATCCTCTCAGCTCATCTCCAATTGAATTAGCTTTGCTTTTCACATACTGGTTGCCAGATGGCTAGTGGTACCATATTGCACAAACAGCTCTAGATTTTAAATCTATACAGAATCATTCTCTTTAGTAATATGTTCTCATTCAGGGGAGAGCAAAGTGTGTGTTTGGGCCTTAGATGACCCATGTTAACTCAAAAAAATGTTGATGGGGGGGGTGAGGGTAGGTAAAAGGGAGAAGATGTCAAGGAATCCAGGTAGAAAATGAATGTTTGGCAACTGATTGTGGTAGCAAATGTACAATACTGCTTGACACCATTCAACTGTGGAATGGTAAGATATATGTATTAACTCCCAATTCCGAATAAATTTTTAAAAATATTTTTTTGAAAATTTCAATCTAGATTGCCTGGGAAAAAGGCAAAATCCAAAATGTTGGCTTCAACAGAAAGAAACAAAACAGGAACAGTGTTAACTGCTAAAATCTGAAAGACAGAGTTTAAAGCTTTAGGGTTAAAATGATGTGCCATTTTAATATACAATCGAGGTGGCACGAAAGCTTTAAGGCAACTGCTCACATAGTATTGTCAGCAAACGTCAGAGTAAAGACAAAGTACAATACCTGTGTTATGCAGTCCCTAATTTCTATGCATGATGCTTCACTTATTTGGAATGACTTGTTGTTTTGTTGTGAATATTTAGCTTGTCATGACACTTGCCTTCCCGATGCTGTGGCATTTTCAGAAGAAATTAAAATGCCCAAGGTGTCCTGAAATCATCTTTTGATTAGTGAGTCTCTCAGGCTGTCATCATTTAACCATTGTTATGTTCTTTAGTACCATGCGGGAGACGATGAAGTATGTCTATGGACAGCATGGCATTCGGAAAGGATTGTATCGTGGGTTATCACTTAATTACATTCGCTGCATCCCCTCTCAAGCAGTGGCTTTTACAACTTATGAACTTATGAAGCAGTTTCTTCACCTCAACTGAAAAGAAATCCTGTGTTTTCTCCGTTAATGTATTGTTAGAGGGGG